TTCTTTCATTTCCCAGATTCTGGACTTTATCTATTGACCGGTTTTGATTTTTATTTTGATCTATTTTGAATTGCGTGACACAGAAAACCAGCAATAGCCAGCAGGGTGAAATGGTGAGGTATTACACACTTATAAAATGATATGGTCTGTGGTTAAAAGTATGTGGTGGAATGGAAAACAAATTGCCGAAAAACATGAAACAAAGTGCAGACGCTGTTTTCATGTCCCAGCATACCGAAAAAAAGAAAAACCAAAATTTGTATGTATACGCCTTTCAGACACTATGTAACCAGCGATCAGAACAAGGATTTTCACGCTTTCGGGAAGAAGAACGTGGGAACGTGGTTGCTATACATTGTTCCATCGTATGTGGCCGTAAAAACAAACAAAAAAACAAACGAACAAACGAACAAACAAACAAAAAAGACAGAAAAACAAAAAATAAAGTTATATAAAGTTTTATCTTTCAGATTCTGTCACAAGATTCCCAATGTTTACTATATTCCACTCTTAAGAGCCAGACATCTATACACTTTAGAAAGGATATGGTGGTGGAAATAAGATCATAATTATAACAATGAAACACCTTCAGACTGATAACCCAAATCGTTTTTATTTACCTGGTGCAAATAACTGATTGTCCTCGCTCTGTTCTTCATTCTAAAAAGCAAGAAAATGGAGTTAGTTTTTCCTAGCATCAGGGGCGACAATCACTGTCCATAAGCTAGGTTGTAAGAAGCCAGTAAGTTTTTGCTTGAAAGGATTTTTACCTCGATTTTCGTCCGAAACCATTTCCCCAATCCAGGAATTTTGACTATTTCATCGCGAGGGCTTCTTTTGCAAACGATCAATTTATCAGAAGAGTGTACCGGGTGGAGATGCAAACATTCTTCGTTAGTACAACAGCCTGATTTACAATTGTGCTGGTCGCAGTGGCAAACAGTGCATGGAACACACCAGTCATACGATAAATTACGTAGCCAGTGTAGCTTCTTTGAGAAGCCAGCCAGGGTATCATCAAGAAAGACACGAACTTCCCAGGGTTCCACTTCCTTTGAAGCAGTGTCTGAGGATCCTGAAGCAGAATTTTCCATCTGGGTTAATGCGACCTTGATCGATCTTTTTCTGCAAATAAGGACCAGACTGTACATGGATTGTTCCCCAATGAAAAACCTAGCTCCGTTACTATACAGACCGGGCTCGTCTCGGAAACCACGCTCGGAACACCAAGCGATACATGCTGACAAAAGCTGGGGAAAGAGCCCGTAAGGGACAAACCCATCACTGAAGGTGACATACAGCAAACAAGGATCACAGCCAGAAGGTTTCTTCTCGCAAAGCTCTGGGGGAGGTGGTTCGGTAAGTTGGGTTGGCACAAAATATCTTGCTACCTTAGTTTTCCTATGTGGAAAAAATTTCGCGATCAGCCCAAATTGTTCCATCAAATCCAAAATATCTTCCTTTTTCAATCCTCTCTTGTCAGGCTCATCAAAAACATGTTCCACGAGTTTCATTTGAAGAATTCCAGACTTCTCGAGAGCATCCCAGCAGTTTGAGATAGAACCATCCTATGTAAAAAGACCAGTAAAGGAAAACAAAACATAGAAATCATAGTTACTTCCAAGAGAGAATAAAAGAAGAGAGTCAATCTCCCATTTTGGCCTCATTCCGTAGGAGATTTCCTTCAAGTTATTCAGTTCTACATGAGCTTAAGTACCCAGTTCTTCACGACCGTTGTCTCGACGTTTTTGTGGAGGATGACCACAAAATGATGAGCAGTTTATCTAAGCATCATTCGTGTCACAGGGTTGGCTATTTCTGGACCTTCCTGGGGTTTCCGAAACCAGAAGTGCGCAATGAATAACTTGGGCGAGTTAGCCTAGAGAATGAGGCCTATATGTTATCTATTCACAGATATTAAACACCAATTGTGTTCTGGGGCAAATCCGCTCCCTGCTTGACTTCGTGATCTCTCATTATTCGCTGATAGACAACGATCGCCCCTTGAAAGAGAAAACGATTCTCTGTTTTTGGCTTTAAAAGTTTCAGTTTTTGACTGCTGTCTTTTATTGTGTTCTTGTAAGACTATTAGACGACTCGCCTTTGTTTCCTAGGAGCGATAGTCAGTCCAACCACCTTACAGCTCAAAATTGTTGAATGAACTGATAAGCGTGACTACACAGCTAGCTGATTCAGTCCGCAAGCATTTTCGCTAAAGGTTATTGTTCCGAGTAAATGATTAGTATTTTATGGGAGTTCCGCTCTTAGGCTTCGCTAAATCTGTACATTTATATTTTGTTGATTACGTGTTCCGAGCGAAACAGTAAGTTTTGTTTCCTGAGATCTCTATGTTTACCGAAAGGAAGTCGGGGGAAGCATCGTTATTCCAGCAGAATTCTGGAGATCACATTCAAACTAAAGTCATGGAAGAAAACTAGCCCCATGAAGGTTTTTGTAATAGACGATTTATGACATGTGAGGAACCTCAAAATAAGGACTTCGATAAATCAAAGCATGGCTGGCGAATGTGCTATTTTAATTTACATTGCCTGCCTAAAAACTGAAAGTGACATGAGTTTATTCACTGACAATTTTTAACACCGTGGTACTTCGAACTTTCGAATTTGCTTTTTTGATAGTCAGCCGTGTATTCTTTAGCCTCCTTCGCAGACGCTTTTTGGGTTCGTCACACAATCGCCCTCCCCTACGAACGTCTGCTGAAACACAGGGTTATTCACTTCGCCAAATCAGACAGTGCACCTCCCGATCAAGGCAGCGAACTTTGGACCCAGAGAAATTTTGCAAAAGATTTATTCAACGGATAACAGGGTGGCCTTTCAACGTGTGCGTTTAACTGAGCAAGAAGCCGTGTAGTATTTCGTGAAGAAAGGGATGGAGGTGTTCGAACGTACACATTCGTTTGGCTAGGCCTGCGGGAAGTGTGCATGGTAATAATCGCAAGACATCAAAATACTAGCGTGGCCTTTCAACGAGTGTTTGAGACATTCACAATATTAAGTTTCAATCCTCCTCGAAGAACTATAATGTACTTTGTGGTGAAAAAGATGAAGTGTTAGTTCATCTATGAACTGATACTGGATTGGAAAAATTGTATACTTTAGTCATATTTACTTTGAAAGCGTTGCACAGCACACAGCAGTAGGCGTTGTAGTTACCGCTCCCCCATCCCAGCGAGCCCATTTTCTTTATGTTTGGCTTTTTATTACATAATGACCTGGCACTGATTGGCTCTAAAGTAATTTCCACGTCATCTCCAGCTGATCTTAATGAACAAAGGGAAAGGAATGCGCTCTTTGTTTCAGCCGGCGTTTGTAGGATAGGAAGATTGCGTTATGAGCCCATAGAGCATCTACATGGGAGGCTATGTATTCTTTAAACATAAAAAATGAATAAAACGAAATGTCAAGTCCAGATAACCTCGGGTTAGTAAAGAGAGTGGGTGACAATTTTTTCATCGTCGCCCGCTGGGCAACGTTTGGATTAAACCATCACCACGTGACCATAGCTGAACCAATTAGAGCGCGTTCAATTCAGCTCAGCTCCAACTTTATAACAATCAGCAATGTTCATAAGGTTGGAAAAATGTTCACCTAGGTATAGCTGCCGTCAGCTGGTTTAATTTCAGAAGATCCACAGCGCAACCAAAGGCACTGCCGTCGCCAACGTACAAAAGGTTCAAAAACAAGAACTAACCTTGCGAACGTGTAAAAAGGTCTACAAACTGGAACTAATCTTGCCAACATGTAGAGGGGCAATTTAATGGACTGTTTGGACTAATAACAACCAAACTACAAACTACAAACTCGCAAAAACGAAAATCAAAACACGAGTGATTACCTGTGGAAAATGTCACGTGAAGTGATGTCACTTAATTAAATTGGATATAAATGAACCGAAACCGAAACGGTGGCCATACTAGGATTCGCATCAGTAAACATTTATAAATGCTACGCTTTCGGCAAATAAGAACACCAATCACCTCCACTTTCCTACAGAAACCCCTACTTCGTAGTCTAATTATCGTTTAAAAGCTAGGTTAAGTTGTTCCACAGCAGCTTTATCATCCTGATGGGGCTAATATGCATCAATTCAGCATTGTTGAACTTCCCCATTATGTACATCGTCAAACAGTACATTTTAAACAAGGTATATAGATATTCACATCTTACCCCCTTATCAAATGGCGGCACGGTGATCAGTTGCTTTAAAAGATCAATCAGCCATTGTGCTTGTAGTACTACAGTACTGCCATGCTTCACAATTACTCCAAGGTTGTGGTAAAAATCTAACATCAAGTCCACTTCTTTGTCTTCGTGTATCCGACACTTTTTTTTGATGACGGTTCGGAGCTCTCCAATTTCCATATGATAACGTTTCTTTTTCACTAAAGCCTCCACAACTTTCTCAAAGTGAAACCATCTACAATTGCAAGTGAGAGAAAATCGACCAGATGGGCATTTTAAGCATTTCTTAAGCATAAACGAGACTGTATCAGTAGAGGGGAAGAGGGAGAATAGAACAGCCAACTGTTCACAGGCTCGTTGCAGCAGGATACCTCTTGTTAATGTGGCCATGTGGCAAGCAGTCACGCGCCTGCGTGACCAAACGAACAAAGAAATGGTAACAAATACACAACAACGGAGCCGCGTGACTGGTTACCACATGACCTGGCGACAGTTGAAAATGTTTCGTACAGGCAACGTTAAACCTGCAAGCGATGTTACGATTTCAACCCACGTTTTTTTTATCAAGATAAGCTAAATTAAGGTAAGAAATTACCCCAAGTACAGTATTTCGTCAGTTATGTATTCTGCTAGTTTGCTCAAAGATTTTTCACGATGCTGATTTATTATCTGATATTTCGTTACATGCGTTGTCCGTACTCGCTTACCGCCAAATGTATGATTTATTATTCACCCTAAACATCTGCTTAAAATTCTCGTTTGCAGCCTGATAACAATTTTCAATCATGCAGTAACTGGTGAAAGGTTGTTGGGGTTTCAAATATAATAAATGTCCCTATAAGTGATCAAGGTCCTAAATGTAATACAATTTGGCCCTAAATGTAATAAAGGTCCTAAGTGTAAGAACTTTGGGCCCTAAATGTAGACTATTATAATTTGGTGCATGCGCATAAGCCAAAATTTTTTTTCTGGCCTTTTTCCTTTCCTTTTTCTCGGCCCTTTCACTCTCGCTAGCTTTTCCGTATCATATTCTTTCTGGCTGTCCTAAAAAGTTGGGTGTTAACTATGGGCAAAGCCTGGAAATGAGACCTTGATCAGTTATAGGTATAATTGGCCATTTTTCCCGGGCGTGTACTCCCAGATACGTTGGATGGGGGTGTGCGGCCCACTTCCCAAAATCCTTACCTTATTTATGACCAAAATCTGCGATTTTCCCTACCATATTTATGACCTGGCCAAAAATTCGATAGCCTATTTATGACCGTTGCAGCTGGCGCAGTTGCCCCATACTTAAGTTATGAAGGGCTTTTGTTGACGTTCTTACTGATAATGATGAAAAAGTGGCTTCTTCTAAGAAACATGCCCAATTCAAGATTAGAGTGCTGAAACCATACCCTGTTTTAGACCAAAATGGCCAAAATCGATACCCTATTTATGACCAAAACAACTGAAAACCCCTACCCTTTGGGGCCGCACATACCTATATAGCCCATATAAGGGAGCAGCCCCCCTCCCGGGCCATTTTACCATTGTACCTTCCTAGGTGTACCTTTGGGCTTGAAAGGGTTAAGAGCAACTTGCTCTAACAGCCACGTATTCCTAGCAGGATAGCAAAATTCGATTTCCTCAAACTTTGTCAGGAAGGTTTTACTAAGTTATTTCAAAACTGTAACTTTGAGGTTGTTTGGAGTTTATTTTCTTGCAGAAACGGTCTTGCGTATTTTGTCCCGAAAAGAGCAAAATAGAGTTTATGTTTGCGGGCGTTAATATGTTTTGGGCCCGACTCAGACTCATTTTAGCCCGAGCCGCTAAGGGAGGGCTAAAATGAGCTCTGAGAAGGGCCCAAAACATATTTATACATGTACCCAAGAACATAAACTCTATTACTATCATTATCACTTTGGAGAGTTTAATCTTCTGCTGCTGTGTTTATATCCACAAAATATAGCTCGGAAAATATCTGAAAGAAGTGTCTCAAGTGCTTTTTTTCACAAAATTTTTACTCGTAGTCGACAGGAAAATGCTTAGCTAGATATTTCTTGTTGATTTCGAGTTAGGTTAAGACAGAAAAGTGGCTTTTGTGTTCAGTGAATGTTTATGAAGTGGCTATAAATTGTCAAGTCCTATGTAAACAGTGCACCAGCTCAGGAAAAACTCGAAACATTTTATGCTTTTTCGAGAACTTAAGTGATGACTCTCACTAACCATGTTAGGATAATGTGTATCTGTTGTCGCTTATTGCAGATAACTGCTATCAGTTAAAGGCTACTCACAACACTACGAAATATGCAACGTAATTAAGATGAAGTCACGGAGAGAAATCAAACCGCCCAGTTCAAATGAGTTACAGTGCTTTGAGACTGATAATCGTAGAAAATGATTAAGTACATTTCATTTTCACATGGCCTTTATTGTTGTAGAAATACTAAACCAAAGATAGCAAATTAAATACGCATTCATTAGTGTTTAATGGACGTTTTTGCAGGTAGTCTCCTTAACTTGAAGCGAATAAAATATTTTGACATAATATTTTTTACATAATCATTCAATCACCAAACCAAATATTTGTGCCAAGTTTGAGCGAAAGCGGGGATTTGAGCGGTATTACCTCCTGCTTGGTTCTGCCAAGAGAAGATCAAGGTAAAAGAGCGAATCCCCCACATTGGCCTTATACCCAAAGTAATCCCTTGTAAGTTATTTTGAGACTCGGTGCCCAGTTTTTCTGCCGATGTTACTCGCGCGATGCGTGCAATGGACAGCCCGAGCGACTTTCTTGAACTACCTAAGACGAAATGGCGGGAAACGTGGTTAAACGTCCTTTTATAGTTTATGATTTTCGAAAGATGTTTCCTAGCACAAATGCTTTCTACACTCTCGGCTGTCTTCTTGTTCGGCTGGACTTTCGTTTGCTTTGTACTCGTTTGGCTGTTCATTCCTCTGCTGTTCATTCGGCTTTAGGGAGTTTAAAAGCAAACCACAACAGTAACGGCAACGAGTTCACGGGCTGTACAAGAGCGTTATAATTCTTGGAAGATTTCTCTGATGTTCTCGATGCAGAAAACAACCACGTGAACCGCGACAGTCAATTTTTAAATTTCTTGTCCGAATTTTGACGCTTTAGTGATAAATAAACTGAATGAATCTAAATTTTCGCGAGTATCTTCCATTGTCCTTAGGGTTGCTGGCGTCGTTGCTTAAACTCCCTTTTGTTGTTTAAGGTCTTAAGATTTTCCTGCCCAATCAGGAGCCAGCATTCGCCGAGCCATTTGGAAATGATCTGATGAGAGTCGGTTCCCAGGGAATTTTTCTCCCTTACCTACTAAGGGCCTGTTTACATGGAGGTAGGGTAACCCCAGGAAGAGTACCTTCCTAGGAGGGTTACCCTCCTCTATTGTTATTCCCAGTTTCGTTTACATGCGAGGTAGGGTCACCCTAGGAGGAGGGTAACCCTATTCGCCTGCAAGGGCTACCCTTCTAGTAGGGTCAACATTTTGTTTATTTAAGCCATATAGAAGCTCGAGGCAAGGTTACCCTCCTAGGAGGGTTAAGTCTAGAGTGATCAGATTACTGCTACATTCCCGTCAACTATAAACATGGCTTCGCGCGGTTATAAATCTGGAGAACTATTTCGGAGAACTATGCTTCCAAGAGCGGCGAGTTCAACCCGGGAAAATGCAGAAATTCAGGACAACAGTCAGGGCAACAGTCCGGCGACTGGAGTACAGCAATCTCCTATTAATGGCGAAAGTCTTTGACAAAACGAAAGTTCGTGAGACGGAGCTGGAGCCGTACTTGATCATGATCTCTTTGTTGAAAAAGGAAAAGATATGGGCATGGACGCCCGAAGCCTTTGAACTACTTCTGTTATAAATCAAAGAATACAACACAAAGTGCGAATTCAATGGCGTCGTTTGGAGGCCAAGGTTACTCTCCTTCCATGTAAAACAGGCCCTTACTTTCGATGATTCAAGTTTTGCTGGATTTATTTCCTCCCGCCCTAACTAACTGCCCCTGGGTCTCCGAGGATGCATTTTAGCACAAGCGTGGCAAACAGAACATATGCATTTCGCTAAGGGACTGACGCTGGAAGGCCTCACTACCTTGATGGGTTTCTGTCATAATACAAGGGATGTGAATGTGATGGAGTCATCAGTTGAATATCAATGAGGAGATGATGTACTAAACTTGCCGTCTCCACCCGTCAAGATGCCTATCGTGTAGGGCTTCGGAATACACCAGTAGTTTATACTTGAATTATATGATATCTTAGAGAAGGTGAGCTAAAGACGACTTTTGTGCCATAGTTTATGTCCAAATATTGAGGAAATCAAATTCAAGAAGACATTTTCACGTTTCTCTTGATTATCTGGCCAGAGGCACTTGCCTATTGTTTCAGTTGCTGGCAGGTTAGTGTTTTAATTATCAGGATTTTGAGAACGTCAGTACACTGCGCTGATAAAAAGCCTGAAAATAATTTTCATACCAGGTTTTACAATAGCATTTCCCCTTTAGAAACCTTAGAACTTTAGGTGTTTTTGTTTTTCAACGGGTTGGAAATTTGCCTCTCAGAAAGTGTGCATAGTTACGAAATTTTAGCCATTTATCCCGCTCGCCATGACCTTGAAAATGAACCCACAGAAGTATAATTGGACACAAATGACTTGTAAACCCCTCCACAGTAAATTGTCAGGCTCAAACTGGAGACTGATGTGATAGAGATTTAACAGTGCGAAGTTTACGAATAGGTATGAATCACTTATATTTTGCGTGTTTCGCGCGACACGTCTGGCCGTACCGAACTTGTGATTTATTTTTGGCGGGTTAAAAATAGTGTAAGGACCATTCTCTCCCTCAATGCTCATTTCGACTCCATTTCGGACACACCAAGATGCATTTTAAGCTTCTAAAAAGTTTTAGTTTTTGAACTTTCACGTAAAGCTCGAAGTACTTGAAACAACTACAGAACTTTCAACAGTGTCATTGATAGAAAGAAGATAACTTTAACATTTAGGGTGGAAGGAAGACATATTGAAAACAGACTCTTGAGGGTCCACTCAAACGTTTCTGCCGCGGTGATTGTTGCGTTTTAAATTTCTCGAGCGTGGTGTAGACGCAAAACAGTTGCTGCGTTATTAGAGTAAAATCGCCATTATCAAATGTTTCCGGCATGGTGTAGACGGTGCCTGAAAGTGGCAAAGTATCAGGATCTTTGGGTTTTCGAGTGGCCAGCGATTCTCGATATTTCTAGGCAGTGACTCTTAATAAAACTAGCAAAAAGTAAACTAAAGAAATTGACAAATTGACAAATGACTTTTCCAGTACAGCTCCATACCTGATTGGAAGTTCTTCGCCCATGTATGGCTCCAGTTTTAACACCTCCATTATCTTGTTTCGTAAGGCTTGAACCCCGTCATCATGCAGAGACTTCTTGTTATCAACACTGAAGAGCGGCCTAATCACATGTTCCTGGTAGGTCTTCTCGGTTAAACTCTCCTGTATACGTAGAATCATCGTTTTGACGTCTTTTGCAGGTTCATCTGCATGCGTACCTACGATGAATACTGGAGGGCGGGCGTACTCGCGGACAGTTCTATCGTCGGCGGGCCTAACATTGTGCACAGAAACCAGCCAGGACAATAACTTATCCAGATTGGTCTCGCTGTTTGGGTTATGGAGCCTCCTTTTATTAACACCTTGAACGAAGTATTCCTCTGCTTCTGCGTCCATATCCTTGCTAAGGTTACAAACAAGAACGTAAAGCGCTCGAGGAGACAGGAATACATGATGGGAGGCATAGTAAACGTGCTGTCCAGCAAAATCCCACAGGTCCAGAGTGTGTTCTTCGTCTTTTATGTGTTGCTCTAATTTCAGATGCTTCAAATATTCCACAACCTGCTTCATGACATCATTTTTCAGAAGATCTTCACCAACATCAAGGTCTATAGCGACGTCCTTTTCTTGAGTTTCATCAATAGTGACATCGTCCAGTACATTGGAGTTCCCCTGGAAAATTTGTAGGTTAATGGCTTAGTTCACAACAATTGGAAGAATGATAGATATCACTCTAAGTGCTCTATGAGTTAACTCGTCAATTGAACCGGGGAATGAATTACTTAAATTTGCTCAAACAAGAAATATATGTTATTGGCCGGCTGGGAGGTCCGTATAGGGAAAAACTGTGACCGAGGTCTTTAAAATGCTGCCCGAGGCCGCAGGCTGAGGGC